ACACGCACACGCACACGCACACGCACACGCACACGCACACGCACACGCACACGCACACGCACACGCACACGCACACACACACACACACACACACACACACACACACACACACACAATATGCATGTATGCATGTATGCATGTATGCATACACGTATTATACACTTACGTACGAATCTGATACGATAGGAAAACTCCTTGTTCGCGCGGACGACAAATTTTTGTTTCGCTACAATTACTTTCTAGTGCTGCTGCTAGTTAAACGTTTTACATTTCAGAATTGCCACTTATTTTGCGTGTCGTTTTAATGTAGGGCTGCCCGATCTTTTCTGTCAAGAGGGCAACATTGAAATCTTTGCAATGGCTGAGGAACTGGATTTATTTAGCTGGTTGTACTTTGGAAAATCGTATAACCACACGTTTTATTTTCATTTTAAATGTCTTTTGTAACACAAAAGAAAAGTGACTATCAATTTTGCTCTCATCTCTCGTATTTTCAGGTAAATTTCTCAGATAAATAAGTCAGATAATGAAGTATCTATTATCTCAGCCTTTTCATCATTCCTACCATTTATGAATTTGTACTACGAAACACGTACGTCGTGTTTGTCATTATAAGATTGCAGATATACGAATGAGCGAAGATGTACGTATACGAATACACCGCGGATGTGGATTTAACGCTCGTAATATTATTTTAGGCCTTGCGGTGATAATATTCTAAATAGTAGATATTATATAAAAAAAGATAGTGATATTGCATAGAATAAGAGTTGGCTGGAGAGATCATTAGACCGGAGTTGTACTTTGTTGTATTGTCCTTTTACATTGAAAATTGTATGAAAGCTTGTATATTGATGCACTAAACTTATATATTTTAATATTAATACGTGTGTGCGTGCGTGTATGCGTGTGTGCGTGTGTCTATTACAGTTGCACGTCTTAATTTATCAATTTGTTCAACATCTTTTTAAACTTGTATGATACACAAAACATAATAGTACAATATAATAAATGTATTCAATAAAGTACATTATAAAAATGACGTGTGTATTACATATAATAATTAACACATTTAAAGTATAGCTTTTAAATTTGCTTTGGATATAAGAGGTTGATTTTAATGTATAAACTAGTAGCAGCGATGATAATTCACCCTAAGTGACCTGAAAGCTTCTTACATACATGATTGATATTTTTTTCGCCAGTGATAAATTGCAAACGAGTAATATTATTTGACCACTGGTTGTAATTTTATTTCTTGTATCTTAAGTTGTTCAATATTGTAGAAAGAAAACTACCAGATACCACCGAATACTTAACAATTCAAATGAAGATTTGATATTTTTATTTTTATTGCAAGAAAGTAACTGCAAAGCAACGATTCGTTACTTTTTGCGTGACTGTAACTGTAACGCGTTACTTTACAGAATTGGTAACTTGTAACTGTAACCAGTTACACTTTTAGCGAAACAACTGTTACTGTAACTAGGTACTTTTATAAATGTAACTTTCCCAACCCTGCTACGATCCTTTGGTAAGTTCGAGCACGCTGATCGTTTCGTGTTCCAAGTAAACAAATGAAAGAAAACACGATACGAAGGTTGAGGAGAGGATTTTTCCCGAACGTTGTGCAATCGATCAGAAGATCGCCAAGAGTTAATTTCGATGATCGGAACATACGTGAAATTACAAGCCGATAATCAAGTGCGTGCGAGCGACGACGTTTACGATTAGTTACGTGTACACAGTATTCGAATTGCGTTTTTTTTTGCCATTCGGTGAACTAAAATTGCAGTCGGTAATCCATTTCTCATGGTAAAAGGCTGGGGCAGGCATTAAGATTCACCCTGTTTACATAGTTGATTTTTTCGTTTAAATTAAAAATAAAATCAAATAAATAAAACCTATCTAGATAAGAAAGAATTATATTGAATAAGCTAGACTTTATGATATGTTATAAAAAATGTGAGACAATGATAGGATGGGATCAAATGCAAAAGAATAGTTGAAGATAAAAGTGTATAGTAAAAACAAAGTTAAAAAAATGGATGAATGACTGAGGAAACCGGATGCTTTCCAAGTTCTCCAATTTATCCAATCTTTTTGCGATTAGAGTAGAAAAAAGTAAAGTAAATTGTGCAAATTAGAAATTTGCACATGGCTT